GGGTATTCCAGAAAGACAAAGAACACAAGCACAAAAACACTGTCAAAGAAACAATACAGAGAAATTTCCTCAACTGAAGAATGTAAGGCCTAGCACACTCAAAAGAAAAGACCAACACCAAGGCACATCCATGAGAAATTTCAGAACATAGAGGAAAGAAAAAATTCTAAAAGCTTTCAGAGAAAAACATGAAGAAAAACAACACTGGACTTCACAACAAGTCTGGATTATATAAGCTATATGATCTTCTGAAGTGCATAATGTTCTCAAAATTTTAAGGAAGAAGTTAGTTCCAACACAGAATTTCTATACTCAAAGTCCCAATGAAGAGCAAGTTAAGTTACAAGAATTCTGGAGGTTATATGCTACCAAAACAAAAGATTACACAAAAGAAAAAAATGGGATCTGAGAAACAGAGAGAGGAGGATGACAGAGTACAGTGGGCCTAGAAAGCCGTCAGAAGACTAAAGCAAAAGTCTGTGTTCCCAGGTCTCCAGGGTTAAAAATCAAATTCCTAAATTATCTAACACATTTATGATTAAAAAAAAAATTAAGCGTTTTATGGAGACATAAGGAAAAGCAGCAACAAATGGTCTGAAAACGAAACAAATGAAGAAAAAAAAATGGTAAGTTCCAGGAACAAACAAAAAGATGTACAAGAAAATAGTCATATATATTAACTTGACTTAGCAGTGAATAACACTTAGGTATACATTATAAAGCAAACATGAAATTGTGAGCTAACCCAAAATTCTGATATAACAATACTGAGAAAGGGCAGGCATAGAGGGTAAGGGGAACTATAAAGGAGGTAAGTCCTCACTGACAACAATGATAAACAAATAGATAACGTTTAAATTGAGAATGCAATAAATAGAAGTAAAAACGCGTTACTGAGAAATATGGAAATAAATATCAGAGCAACTAAAGAGTTGAAAGTCTGCTTTAGTGGGAGGGCAGGGAAGGACTGAAAAGGAGATAGCTGTTTTTCTTTTAATATTACACAGCGTTTTAAAACTATATGCAAGTATGACATTGATAAAAAATTTTTTTAATCATTTTTCAAAAAATATTACCACATTCAGATAATTTTTTAAATGGCCACAGCTCAAAATCTAACCATACCTCCTGTAAATTTTGGTCTTCTTGAGTCCAAGAATTTAAAACATGTGCTCCAGAGTCACTCACAATAAAATTTACCTAATAGATTTCAAAGAAACAATTAGTATTCAATTCTAATTTCACTCAATCACCACATTTTAAAATATGCAATTTCTAACACTGGCTGTTAATTCATTCCTTCGTTTTGTAGTTACAGAAAGACTACTACATGTCAGGTGCAATTCTTGGCATTAGGATATGGGAATATAGCAATGAATAAATCAGTTCTGTCACTCACAATGTGGGGAAAGTTGGGGAGAATACAAATAAATGAACAAGATAATTTCAGAAAGTGGTAACTGCTATGAAAAGTAACTTGATTACCTACTTTAGACTGAGTGGTCAGAGAAGAACTCTTTAGAAAAGTGGCAACTGAAGGGAATCCAAAATAACTAACAGAAACCAGCCACCTTAATAGCCAGAGATAGAGAATTCCAGGACACTGAACAGCAAATGCAAAAGCTTCTAAGCACCTACCCTAAAAAGGGTGAAGGTCAGAGCAGGCAGAGGGACAGAAGATAAGCTCAGAGAAACAGGCAGTAGCCATGTCATATGGGGCACTGAAAGCCAAAACAAAGGATCTGAACTTTAAATTTTAAAGAAAATGCAAATTAAAAAACACTATCAGGCAACATAATAATGACAGGGAACATATTAGAAAATATATCACATGATGATGAGGACTATGTTCCTTTTGGGAGGAGGGTAAGATTTCTTTTTTTCCCTGGACAATATGATCTAATCTATGATCTTTTCCCCATATACCCATGAAATACTACTTTTCCTTCCCCAAGGAAAATGTTTGATCACTGGTCTTCTCCTAAGACTTACGTGACAGGGACATATTTTACTAATCACATTAGAGTATCTCTTTTAAATCTTACAAGTAAGTAGGTATTACAGTTACATGGGTGGAAACTGAGGGTTGTAGAGATTAAGAAATAAGATCAAAGTCACACCGCTGGTAGCTAAAGATGCTAGGATGTGAAACCAATGCCTGTGCCCCAAATCACTAAGTTATTTTCCCTCTCATTATACTTCTTTACCCTACATAGAATACACAAAAATATTAAGAGGGACACTAACTAGAAACATATCTGAATGTATAGCACTGAACTCTCTCTGTTCACCCTCACTGTTACTGCCCTACTTTCGTCAGTCTAATAACTGGCTAGGTCCCAGCCTCAGGTGCTGCAAATATGAGTGAAGGTGAATCATCCACCTTTGGCTAACCAAATGACTTTTCCAAAACATGACATTTGAGATACTGAAACCCAAGATAACTTTAATACCTGGAGTTTTTTCTCATCAATTTCTCGTCTTGTCCACTTAGCATTCCTAAAAGCATTTCTTTCTAATATGGTCAAACTCTACAGCAGTTCTATACATGTATTCACTAGAACTGTAAGCAGTCATCCTGCTTAAGTTCAAATTCTGTCTGTGCTTCTAATTATGTGACTCAGGACAAGTGTCTTCTTATCTCAGTTTCCGCATCTATAACATGGAAGTGAAAAATGACTGATATTCAGCTGGTACATACCAGTACAATTTGACAACAATTCTCAATGGTCAGTTCTTGTTCCCTAATGGCTGTTACTTTGAATACTGTTCCAATAATTATAGCACCTACTTCATAGGACTTTTGTGAGAATTAAAGGAGTTATTAAATATGAAGCACTTTGGAACATGCCTAGCACATGTACGAGCTCAATAATTGCTAACTGTTCTTATTATTAGTCCAAATTAAATACCCATAACATATTAATTCCAAGAGGCAGTTCTATGTAACATATTTTAAAGTAGTAAACAGTTTTAAATCTAATCTATAGCAAATTTATATATAAAAAATGTATTTATCCAATTAAGTACATCTTTAAAATCATGATTTTTGTACTTCATACTCACCAGCTTTTTGAAAGGAAATATATCATACATTATTCTACAATATTCCATGGAAGATTCTACTGAGCAGGTCCACAATGATTTAGATATGGGGGCCAAAGGAATGATTCCTTGGGTCCTATTCTTCACCAGCATATCAAACTCAACATGCTGTCTGCATGATTCTGCCATGTAGGGGCAGTGATCCACAACAAATACTGTTTTATGAGATTCAGAAAAAATCTTCATTTTGCTTTAACCTGTAGGGGGAAAAATATTTCAGTCAAACGTGTATATATATCTTAAATTATTTCTGATTTTCTCAAGAAGACTGTCTTTTCCTCAAGAAAATTTGGTAGAGAACACAAATGATGTGTTCAAAGAAATCTGTCCAACAAAGGGCAAGATTTAATGTGGTCATAACCAGAAAGCAACTGTATCAATTCAAGGGATGAACTACACCATACACCATACGAGGCTGTCATTCTACTAGGCACAGGCAAAATTACAGTCCATACTTTTTTTTTTTTTTTGCTTTTTGAACAAACTTCAAATTGTCAGAAGAAACCATTAACATATAATTGTATTTAATTCCCTCAGCATACACAAAACATAATGACAAATACTCTTCAAATACAATTTTGAGGATCCTTGCTATTTGGCATCAATCACACGTAAATCCCCAAGCCAGCATTTTTAGACTTCCCTCCAAGAAAAACGTTTCAAGAGTTCTGAAAAAGGGGGCAGGGGCTGGGGAAGGGAGAATTAACAGGAAAAAGGCGTGACATCAAAAAGTCAAAACATGATAAACATCTCCAAAGATATATATTAGGTCTTCGCTTTAGGACAAGGACCCCAAATACACACTCTCCCACTTAACGTTTGAAACACCAATTTACCATGCAGACCAGAAAAACTTAAGTCTACTGGTGGGAAGGAGGAACTTTTAAAACTTTTTCTTATTAAAACAGAGCATATGGAACTGCCTTGCTTCGCTAACAAAATCTTACACTGAATAAGACAAACCACATTCAAAAGCACATGGCAAGCAGAGCAAAAGTGTTCATCAAAACGAACAGACTTTTCCCGATTCGCCTATTTTCTTCTCCTGCTTCCAAACGCACCTCTCCTTCATGCAAAACTCTCTTCGGGAAATCTTCCAGACACACTTTGCTGAAGGAGGGGGTGGAAAACACAAGGTGAACGGATAGGAAAGACCTCAGGATCGAGGTTCGCTTACTTTCGTGCCAGGTCCTGCAGTGCAAACGAACAGAGGTTATGGACCACAGCCTCCCTGGAAAAGGCTGCAGGCTGGGTGCGCAGAGTCAGCGCACAGTCAGGAGTGTCTGGTACACAGACCAGGGACTGTGCCTTCCCCGTTCATCTCCGAGCACATCGGTGCTCCTCAAGCTTCCTAAACGCGGGGACGCGCGCATGCGCGTGCACTCGCACGCACTCGAGCCCGCGCGTGCGCAGAGCGCTCTTCGACAGCCCCCGCCAAGCTGCCCTTCCCCCTCAGAGGGCCAGACGCCGAAGTCGCCGAACAGGAAGAGGGCGGGGCTAAGGAAAAGGAAAAAAAAAAAAAGCCCCCACCCCTCGAGATTTTCTACCCGCTAATTTTCCCCATCACCCATTGGGAAAAGCAATCTGGGCGACCTGAAAGCCTCCCCAACAGCTAAGTACCAACCACAGAACTGGCTAAACCAGCCACGACTCCCTCATGCGTAGGGCCCACCCACCCGGTCTCCCCTTCTCGGTCTCTCCACCCAGGATGGGTCCCCTCCAAAAACTCGCGAGACTTTGAGAGAGGCGGGGCGAAACCTGGGCGTGGTTAAGTAGGGCGGACCTAGGAGGGCCCCGCCCCTACCTCTCGTTCAGATCGGCGAGTGGTCGGCTCTGCCTCCACGGTAACGCGAGGAAGGGAATCTCGCGAGGCTAAATCCCTTGGGGAGCAGGAGTGGGCGGTGGTAGTCGGTCCCGGCTCAGTGATGGGGCTGAAGCTCGATAGCTCCCCAGCCTCCTCTCTGCTGCCACTGTCCGGTCCTGCGTCCGCTCGCTGAGGAGGCCGAAGAGGGGCGCGGGGTCTCTTCCCTGGGGTGCCTAGGTCCCACTTGCTAGAGGCTTTGCTTCCTGACTGCCACAGCTGACGACTGCGAGGATTGAGAGTGGAGTAAGTGGAATCAACCCGGGACGGGAGCGGGTGTAGACGAGTGGGAAGCTCCCTTCGCCCGGGCCGCTCCGCTGCTCGGCGCCTCCCAAACCGCTGGAGCCCGGTCCTGGCCACTTCTCCCGCGGGCGCCCAGTTCCCGGAAGCCGGACTGCCTCCCCCGGCCCCGGCCCCTCTCCCCGGAGGTGCGGTGGGAAAGTTTCTTGGAAAGTCTTGACCGTGACCCGTGGACGCACCTTCCTGTCGGTTACCGCCTCCCCTCGGGAGCTCGCCGTGCGAGGGGCCCTTCTATTGTCATTTCGCCTCTTCGCGGCTTCCGAAATGATAACCGTGCCCTCTTCTTGAAGCTGCTCTCCACGGAGGTGCTGCTCTTTCTCTGGTTTCTTCCTGCCTTAGCGTCTCTGATTATGGGATCGGTGTCTGTCCCGCTGTCCAGACTCGAAACCTAGGGTCCAAACCCAGGCTCTGCGTTTCCACTGGCACTGCACTGTTGTTTCTTCTTCACTCGCCAGAGTTAGTGTATCCCTTCCCGCCCCTCACCCCCTCTGTGGTTTCCATTATCCTTCCATAGACTTATTCTGAAATGCACATCTGTTTCTGTCTCTCTCCTTAAACTTTGGTAATTTGATTGCTGACAGGATCAAGTCCTAATTGGTAAGCACCTCGTTCAGGACCTTTTACAGTCAGTCGCAGTTCATTTTACCTTTTTAATTCATCTCGGCTTGCTTCTCCTCCAAAAACTTAAATATCCAGCCACACCAGATTGCACAGGCTGTACCCCAAACATGCTGTTTACCTGCACAGCTTAGCACCTCTGGATGTGCTTTGCCATGTCTGGATTGTTTACTCTCCGTTCTCTGTTTTACCACCTGTCAAATCCCACTTCATAAATCATTGTCCTCTCAGGACCCCTTCTCCCCCCACCGGGTGTCATTGATACCCACAGGCTTGAAACAGTTCTTCTGCAGTATTTATTAGGTTGTGTTGTTTGTTCATGTAGCTGTCTCTCCTGCCAGTTTGAATTCGAGTCTGGAATCGTGTCTTACACATCTTTGAAACAAAAGCTAGTCCAATACTTGGTACACATATGTACATATGTATACATATTTACAGTGTAATCGTTAAAAAGAATTCATCATAGGAGTCCTTAGTCCTTTGAAATCATAAAATTTTGAGCCAGAAGGAACTTTGTGTATTAACTTAAAGGCCCTGGCCTGTTTAGCATATGGAAAGCCTGTGCTTCTAACACACACACAATTGTGCTTTTAGTATTTGTTGATTGAAACTACCCATAATGGCAGAAAACGACTATGCTTTTAAATGCTCTCCACGGAGCATTTTGCATTATATTTTTCTAGTATCTGTTTATATTTGGAAAACAATGGGATATATGTGAGAGAAATGTCTTACACTACAGACAGTGGTTGGTGTATGTGCAGTCAGACAACTCTTCACTGAGACCTTAGCCTAGAGGTCAGAAATAACTGGTTTAGGTCAGGTTAGTTCCTTCGTGAATTGTCATAAACTCTTTGAAAATACGTATATGCAACCTATATTTAATCACAGTTCAGGACTAAATGTGTAATTTTTTAAAAATCCTCCAATGTCCTTACTTGTAAATTCTTTTCCTTCCAACTTTAAAAATTCATTTTCTTCAGAAAGCTGCCTCACAAAGTTTCAAATGTAGTCATTCTAGCATTTTCAATGACAGTGGACATTTTCTGTACTTTCAAATATAGTGATATGCTTGTTTAAATGCTTGTTTTTGTGTGTAATCATGTGCATTCTATCTCATAAGTTTCTATGAAAGCCATAACTATACCTTTTTACTTTTCTATTAGAAAAGTATGGGTCAATTAATATTATGTACTAATTAACACTAGAGGCACCTGCCTAAACAATAAAAAATTTTAAACTAGATTGTTGACATTTAAAGACACATCTGAGGTCTAAAGAGTCACAGTATTTTCTGTACAGGCTTAGCTGTGGATGAAGGAAACAGAAGAATGACTTGAATTTCTTAAAATTTTTCTTCACCAAAATCTAAAAGTAAACAGCTGGCAATTGCTGTCTTGGGTGGGTGGTGGGTTTTCTTTTTTTTTATCAGCAGCAAAATGTTCTGAACCTTCTGCCAGGAGTCTTAACTGCAGATGTCTTTGGGTGGTAAAGTGGGCGAGAATGTGGCTAATGCAGAAAAGAAAAAAACACTTGCTTTTAAGAAAAATGCACGTGTAATTTGGGCCTACCTATAGAAAATAATGTAAGTAATGTATTCTGGCTGGTTAAGATAGGCACTATAAAAATAGGCAGATAAATTTAGAATATTCCTTTTTTACTGGTCTGTTTTTTAAAAATTGAAACTTGTTAAAGAATTTGGAAAGCAATTGTTCTGCCTCTCCACTTACTAGTCAAAAAAAGGGAGAAAGCACAATTGTTTTTAAAAATGGTGGCACTGTATATGCACATTATATTTTAAACTTTTCTGTGGTTTCACATACAGGAAATGAACATGCAAATTTTCAGAAACTGTCTCACTGTTTTTCTGAAGTTCTAATAAAATTATTACCTACTGTTTATAATTCCTTTTCCCTGAATAGATATGTTTTTGTGAATACACAAAAAATTTTAAGTGTAGTTCATTTTGAAGTATTTCATTATGCAATCTAGAGAGAGGATATTTTTTAAAGTGAATGTTAATTATAATTTTTAAAAGTGAATCTAATAAGCATGCATTGATCTTATTAGCTATGATGCCTAATTAAAATTGCTAGTCTTTTATTGATACCTGGAAAATATTTGAAATTTTGTTAAAATTTTTTCTTCATATACATTTCCATTTATTTTCTACAGCTGGTTTGAAATGATGTTTTAAAAATACCTTTGAAATTCCATTTGTGGGATAGGGTCAGGAAAATTGCTTTGTTCTTCCACTTAAAGACAGTGAGATGGTTTTTCTGTAGGTAAAAAGCAAACAGGGCCCTGGGGATCCAGCTTGGCTCAAGAATAGAACACTAGACTGGGAATCAGAAGTTCTATTTCTGGTTATTGGCGTGGCTCTTTCCTTGTTTTGTGGTGCTGTCATTTGGCTCTCTATATTTGGAATCCCTGAGTCTATTTCCTCACTGGTAAAATGGGAATAATACTTGTCTTCTTGCCCAAATGACAATATACGATAATATTGCTCAGGTTCAGAAACTACCAACAGTTTGACTTAATTAAAATTATTACCTAGTAGTTTGATTTTACTCTACAGTACCCTAGAGATCCATTTGGATTGAATTAGGTTTTAGAGAAAGCAAAAATAGGTGAAGAAGTTTTAACGAATAAAACAGTGACTTGCTATATCAGATAGCAAGAGTTTATTCTACAGCTATTAAATTTGAGGCAATTTGGTATTGATGTAGAGATAAATAGCTATTTTAATAGGGTGGATCTTGTACATGGTTCCAATCACTTTTCTCTAATGGCTAATGATGTTGAACATCTTTTCTTGTTCTTATTTGCTATCTGTAGCTTCTTGGTTAAGTGATAAAATATTTTGTTCATTTTTAATTGGATTATTTTCTTGTTAGTTTTGAGAAATTTTTTTGTATTCTAGATACAAATCCATTGTCAGATAAGTGATTTGAAAATGTTTTCTGTCAGTCTGTAGCTTGTCTTTTCAAACTGTCTTAACAATATCTTTCCCAGAAAAAAAGTTTATAATTTTGATGAAGTCCAGTTTATCCATTTTTTTCTCTTATAAATCATGCCTTTAGTATCATTTTAGAAAAAAAAAATCTTTGCCTAACCTCAGGTCACAAAGACTTTCTCCTATTATTTTTCCCAGGAGTATTTATTTTTAATTTTACACTTACATTTTACATTTAGAACTATGATCCATTTTGTATACAGTGTAAGAATTATGTTGTGATTAATCTTTTGGCATATAGATATCCAGTTCTTCCAATACCATTTGTTAAAAAAAGAACCTTTCTCCTTTGACTTGCCTTGCCTTTGCATGTTTTTCAAAAAATCAATTGGCCATGTTTCTGTGGGCCAGTATATGGACCTTCTGTTCTGTCTCTGTCAACACCACACTGTCTGATTGCTGTAGTTTTTTAGTAAGTCTTGAAAGTTTGTAGTGTGATTTCTCCAACTTTGTTTTCATAATTGTTCTGGTTATTCTAGTTTCTTTGCATTTCCATAGAAATTTCAGAATTAGCTTATCAGTTTCTGCAAATAAATCTTGCTGGGGTTTTTATTGGAAATTGCATTAAATCTGGAGAACAGTTGTGGAAAACGAACATCTCTACTATGTTAAGTCTTCTAATCCATGAACACAGTATGTTCTTCCATTTATTTATTTAGGTCCTCTTTAGTTACTTTAATTAGTATTTTGTAGTTAGCGGCGTACAGATTCTGCATGTGTTTTAATTTATCCCCAAGAATTCTTTTTTTTTTTTTTTTTTTTTTTTTAGCTATTGTAAATGTATGGTGCTTTAAACAATTTTTTTTAGTTTCCAATTGTTCATTGCTAGTATATAGAAAAATAATTGATTCTTATGCTTGTATCTTATGATATCACTAAAACCACGTACTATTTCTAGGAGTTCTTTTTTGTATCCTCTATATAGTTCTTTTAGGAGTTTCTTTAGAATTGCAATATATGTAAATTTTTTACAGTTTACTTATAATTGATATTTTTACAACTTCAAGTGAAACAATCAAAATCTTATCACAAGGCCGGGCTCCGTGGCTCAGCCTGTAATCTCAGTGCTTTGGGAGGCCAAGGTGAGACAGTGTGGTGTTGACAGAGACAGAACAGAAGGTCCATATACTTGGTGAGACCTCGTCTCTACAATAAATCAAAAATCAGCCGGGCGTGGTAGCGTGCTCTCATAGTTCCGGCTACTTGGAAGGCTGAAGTGGAAGGATCGCCAGAGCCCAGCAGGCGGACGCCAGGTGGCGGTCAGCATGCCACTGCACTCCAGCCTGGGCAATGGAGTGAGACTCCCAACTCAAAAAAAAATTAAGAAAGGAAGAAAGAAAGAAAGAAATCTTATCACTGTATAGGCAGCTTTGCTCTTTCGCTCCCCTTTATGTTGTAGTTGTATTATGTATTGCCGCCACATAAATTAAGAATTTTATCAGATGAAAGTTATAATTCTTATTTTCAAACCTCAGACATTTTACAACAATTTTTGTTGCTGTTTCTTCATTCCTGATGCTCTTAAGTTTTCTTCTGATGTCATTTTGCTTCTATCTGAAGAATTTCCTTCAGCACAAGTCTACTGGAAATGAATTTTTTTTCTTCATCTGAGAATTTTTTTTCCTACCATTATATCTGAAGAGTATTTGTGCTGGATTTAGAGTTTTGGACTGACACTTCTGTTCCTTCAGCACTTTAAAAATGTTCCATTTTCTATTGGCTTTCATTTCTGATGAGAAATCTACAGTCATTCACATTCTCCTTTTTCTCTGGCTGCTTCAAAGATAATTTTCTCTTTGTTTTTAGTTTTCAGAAATTTGATTATATTGTGTCTGGGCTTAGATCTCCTTGAATTTGTCCTGCTTGGGATTTCCTGAGGACTGGAAATGATAAAGATAATAAAGTTTTTTAGGACGAAGCAAAGTGTTGCATAATTGAAATTCATAAATTTCAACCATTTCAGTTAAATTTATTTCTACATTATTGGATTGACAAATTGGAATGTCCTTTGTACGAAACATGAAATGTGTTATCATTTTAGCCATTGTTAATATTGTGGCTTTTTAACAGGGACTCTTATATCCTATCAATAACACTAATATACTGCTACTAGTATATTTAAAAATAAATATTACATATTTCTAAGTTATAGAGAGAAGTAACTTTATTAAATCTACTTGAAAATGTTCAGAAAGTTTCTTGGGCGTGGTTTTAGTCTTTGCTTTACTGTTAAAATTTTTTCAGATTATTTACAAATGAGGCATTAACTGAACCATATCCTCTACTATCCAAGATAAATTTTCCCATCTGTTTAATATTGTAGCCATTTTTTTCCCTACTGAAATGAGATGTTTCTTAGAGTTTTTGAGGTTTTATCTGTTTGAGGTTTTATTTGGTGCTATCAGGTAACCAGTCTGATTGTGTCCATTTTTATCTTCATGGATCTTACAACTTGATCATTCTGTAGTCCTTCCGGAATTTGACAGGCCAGATTTTGTGTATGTATGATGAAATCTTTGAACTTCAAGGATTTATTATTTTATTGTTTTATGTGAGGCCCTTGCATAAGGATTTAGTCGAAGCAATCTGTTTAAAGTGGTAAAGTATAATATTTCTATAGTATGTACAGTATAGTATACAAGTTTGCAGAGTATACTCCTCCTGTGCATGTCTACCTTTTGGAAGCAGTTATGTTAGGTAACTACCATTAAGCCATCAAGTAGTTATGTATGTGTTGTTTTTTGTTCTCACTCATAAGTGAGACCTAAACATTACTCACATTAGCACAAGGGAGGGATCGGCAGTCACTGGACACTGCTGGAGGAAGCGGGGAACGTAACAACACGAAGGGTACCTGGTCCTGAACCAGGAGAGGTAAGGACCAGTTGGAGGCCCCAACTCCACCTATACCCAGCCTACTTGTGTAGATAATCCTGACTTGTACCCATCTCTATAATAAAATAAAATAAATAAAAGATGTCTGAGGAACTTTTCTTTGCAGCATTTCAGAGAAGTGGATTACTCTAAAAGCTTGTCAGCCATTAGTGTATATATTTAATTTTAGTAAGTTGCTCTATCTCAGAGGATGACATTTGATCAATTTGACTTCTGGTAAGAAATTGAATTTTATTAGAGTAACTGAAGTACCTAGTGTATATCAGTCCTAGTATTGTCACTTTTTTATTTTTAATTTAAAGCCCTTTAATAAACAGTAAAGTCAGGATTTGGTACTAGAGAATTTAAAATTTTGTCTTGGGCTTGGATACTTACTGAATTACGGAAACACAATCATGAGATTTGTCTTTCAGTACGTAAAGGTTGCTGGATTACACCAGGCAATGGCTCACACCTGTAATCCCAGTGCTTTGGGAGGCTAAGGGGAGAGAATCACTTGCACCCAGGAGTTTGAGGTTACAGTGAGCTATGATCATGCCACTGTACTCTAACCTGGGAATAGAGCAAGGCCTTAACTCTTAAAAAAAAAAAAAAAAGCATTATACCAGTGACTGGTATCATGAAAAAGAGAAAGTAACAGTATAATTATTCAACTAATAGAAAATTTGGGGGTTCCCTTTAGCAATAGGGATTTACTATGTGTGGTAAAATTAGTCTTAAAATATAAGCTCAGAATAAGCTCTGAAGATTGCTTTGAGGCAAAGAGGCTAAACCTTACCTAATAAATTAAAGTATAAGATTTAATAGGCAGTGGGTTTTTGGTGACATGTTGTTGAGTTAATATTCCCAAAACACAGTGTATCATTTTCATACCCCCAAAAGAAAGATTTATGATTATCTAGACTGAGAGCTCTGCTACAATGAATCTGTCTATGTCCATGGATTCTTTTGCTCAGAGGACTCTGGGAGTATGCCCTGCTTTTTTTTTTTCCCAACATCTTCAATAATACACGATACAGGTATTCTCAGCTGGGTCAGCTATCTGACAGTATGTAGGAACCTTAGTACATTTTATTTGGAAAGAGATCCAATTCTGTTTGTAGATGTTGTATTTCAGTGCATAAAGAAGTACTCTTCTGATTGTGGTCTCAACAATATCATTTACAGATTAGGACCTAAGACCACTAATGATTTCTACTACTTGAGTTGTTCTATTAAACCAAGATAAACTTTATTTTCTGTCAAGTCTTTTACAACATATTCTAGACTATGGAGATATAGTGATGCCCATGGAAATAAGAAAGTTGTAGTATTGTCCATCTACAATTTTAGATAATCCCACTTGGAAGTTTAGAGGAAATATAAGATGCTAATTGTTGGATACTAATGTCTCCCTTGGAGCAGCATCTTTGACTAGATTTGGATAGTTGTCTTTTTGAATGCTAGCCAGTGTTGTACATTGGTTCGCTTAATGGCCCTTTTGCTTGTCATATTTTCACGTACTTTTATCTAAGTCTCTCAAATCGTAGAAGACACATCTTTTGATGGTTTTATTTAAAGAGTCAGAAACTATATTAATTTCTAAATTGTTTACTTCTTAAAGCTCTCTGGAAATTTCTAGTCATATATTGAATATTTTCTAAATTGACATTTTTTAATTTTACTTTGATTAATCCTCTTATTTAAGTGTAA